CAATTAGTCCCTACCCTAGTGTGTGTGTCTGGGGTGGGGGGGAGGTAAAATCTTAGTACCAGCTCATAAGGACATGTGCTTTGAGTGGGCTGATGTGCTAGAAACAGCTAGAAACAGCGCACGGGCTCTTGTCTGGACAGGCAGATACTGGAAGGCTTCCTGGATGAAGGAACACCAGGCAGAGGAAGGCGGAACACGCAGGTTCTGCTCAGGGAACAGGGGAGCTGGGCACCAGGTGGAGCGCTAGGGAGCCAGGCCAAGTCCAGGGCAGGGTCCGATGCGAGATGCCCTGGGCTGAGGGTTGGAGCAGGGCAAGTCCTGCCAATATGGAAGAAGCAGAGAGAGGGCAGCGTCCTGCCTTGGCTGAGTGAGTTCTGGAGTCAGAGGGCCCCCAGGAGAGATGCCAGGGAAGGTCTGCGCACCAGAGCCAGAGTAGCCTGGGCAGCCGCGCTGAGAAGGAGCGAGAAGCCGCCGGCAGGCAAATGTGCCCGCATGAGTGGGGAGCCGCTGCCCCGTGTCTAGGCCAGAAGAAAAGAGCCCTCAGAATTCTGTCAGATGCCCGGGGGTGGGGGAGGCGTGTCGTAAAGGGGCCAAGGTGGTTCTGGAAACTCCCCAGCCTCCAACACTTGGAGTCGCAGCCAGGAAGGAGCGTAGGAGAGGCAGGTCCAAGGAAGGCAAAGCACCCGGGAGGTGCCAGGATGGGGGAGGGTCATCCCGGCCAGCCTGCTGCCCCCGGCCTCCTGCCCCACTTAGAGATCCCTGCCTGTCCCTGTCCGATCCTTCTACCCCAACTTTGGCTCCCAGTGAGATAGCCCACCACGCTCCTCCCTGGACCTCCCCCGGGTCACAGGGCCGCTCTCCTATCTGCAGGGTCAGGCTGGGATAGGAAGGGAGTAGCCGAGACAGATTGTCCCACGTCCTGATGGCCAGGGAACCGGGACCCACTGATTCTCCCCACAATGGAGACGGGGGCCCTGACCCGTTGATTATCCCTGCAGTGTAGATGGAATCCTGACCCGCTGGCCCCTCTGCAGTGGATGGGGACCCTGGCCCGGTGGTCCCTGCAGTGGAGACTATATATTCCAGTGGAGACTGTCTTTGATTTGCTGCTTGTTGCAGTGTGACCCAGAGAGTCTGCTTCAGCCTTGGTTCTCTTTGGTAGGAAAGAGAGAGGCCTGGGGTGATCGTGGGTGGGGAAATGCCAGCTCCAGGGTCCGAGTGGGGAGTCATCCTCCTCCACCATGCTGGGGACTCTCACTCCTACGCCACTGCAGCACTGAGGTCCTGCCTCGGCCACCATGGCCTAGGAAGACCCCCGCCTGTCCTGAGCCAGCCCCCAGGTTCCAGCTTCCTTCTCTGTCCTGCACACATTGTTCTAGGGGCTGGTGCAGCCCTTTCTCCCCAGCAAACAGTTTCGCATCTCTTTAGGCCTGACCCAGCTTGCAAGGACCCCGGCCATTGGGGCCAGAGCGATATTACAATGGGTGGAGCCTTGCATGCGGCTGACCCCCGTTTGACCCCAGCATCCCATATGGTCCCCCGAACACCACCAGAGGTAACTCCTGAGTGCAGAGCCAGGAGTAAGTCCTGAGCAACACAAAGTGTGAACCCACCCCCCTCAAAAAAAAGCCAAAAAAAATTTTTAAAAAAAGAACCCCAGCAGCTGAGCTGAGAACTAGGCGGAAGCTAAGGTGGGTGCTTGGGAGGGGTCTGGGGTGAGGGCTGCAGGGGTGGTGCCTAGGATGAGGGGCAGTTGGGGGTGGTCCTGCTGCAGTTCCCAGCAGGGACTAGGAGACAAGTTAAAGACCAAAGGAGGGGGTGGGGGGCAGGGTGTGTGTGGGGTGGGGGTGGGGTTGGTCTTGGCTGTCCTTTGGGGGAAATTCCTCTTGCAAGACCCTTGTGGGAATGTGCTGAAAGGACCGTCGTTGCCTGCTTGAGGTCCAGCTGCTGCTCGTCTCCCAGCTGTGGCCTCTGGAAGGTCCGTGCAGGGTGGGGGCAGGGCCCAGCACTGTGTGGTGGTTTCCAAACAGGGTCAGAGACCCTGAGTTTGGACTTTCTGTTCCTGATTCTAGCCTTGGCTACCCTGTCTGGGCTCAGGATTGTCCAGAAAACAACACGGGCTTGAGGGGGGCTGAGCCCTGAGCTCACCAGGATCCACAGCAGGGGGAGGGAGAAGGGGGAGCCAGGCCAGCCACCTCCCCTCCCCCAAGTCCCAGCTGACTGTCACTTAGTCCAAATGGCCCTGGCACACCCGTGCCATCCCCTTGACAGGTGAGCACTCTTGAAAGAGCTGCTTTCAAAACAGGCTCCAGGAGGGAAGGAATGTGGGGGTGGGGGGGGGAAGGGGCAGGTGATCAGATGCTTTCCCTGCACCCACCTCTGCCTCCCAGAGGTCTCTGCTCAGCTGCCTCCTCCTGACACAGATTACGGTGCTGGTCAGCGCAGAAAGGGACTCTGTGGCCATCTCGGTCATCGCCTGCACACTGATGGAACGGAACCAGCACTGATAGTGGGGTCCAGGCGAGCCCCCCTCTGTTGCCCCAGCCCTGAGATCTGGTGGAGTAGGCAAGGCCCAGCCTGAGAGGAAGGAATGTGCCCCACCCGCCCTTCCCATGGTCTCAGGGGAACCGTGTAAGAGCCCTGGGAGGGCAGAGGAGGCCCAGAGGGCCAGGGGGTGAAGGGGGAGCAGGGTGAGGGGAGGTGGGCAGGAGGAGGGGGAGGAGGGGGACAGGGAGCAGGGTGGAGGGAGCAGTTTGGGGAGGAGCAGGATGAGGCAAGCAGGGTAAGGAGGTGCAGAGGTGAGGTGGGCAGGGTGAGGTGGGCAAGGTCAGGCAAGCAGAGGTGAGGTGAACAGGGTTAGGTGGGCAGGGTGAGGTGGGCAGGAGGAGGGAAGGAGGGTGATGGGGGCAGGGTGAGGGGAGGAGGGTGAGGGGGGCAGGGTGAGACCAGGCATGAGGTGAGAGGGGCAAAGGTGAGGTGAGCAGGACTAAGAGGGCGTCGAACTCAGCAGCAGGCGGCCCCCGTCTCTGGCTCCCTTTTGCTCTTGCTCACTGACGGGTGCCCTCAGGCAGGTCACCCCCTCTTTGCGCCTGGGTCCCCGTAGAACTGGGGAGAGCCTCTCTGCATCCTCCAGCCTGGACTCGGCGCAGAGACTGGAGCCGAGGATTGCCGGGTCCTCTCCAGAGCCCAGTCTGTCTGCCAGGGATCCACTCTCAGCGAGAGCCAAGACACCAGCCAGGAAGGGGGAAGGACCGAGGTGAAGAGAGGGGCTAGAGGGGAGAGAGAGGACCCCCCCACCCTCGGGAAGGTATCCTGGGGGAAGTGGGAGGCAGGTAAATGTTGGACTGGGAGGATGAGCGGGAAGGAAGGGCTTCTCCGAATCAGCAAAAGGGACAGGCCTTTGGGGAGCATCTGTGTGGGACCTCCCCACCGGCAGGAGAGGGTACTCGCACCTAGCGGGAGCCAGCGGGAGTCTGTCCTGGGCTGGAACACCCAGCCCATCACTTCACAGGCTCTAGGCTCTCTACATGCACTCCCACTTCCCCCCTGCCGGCTGAGTGCCCCCTGAGCAAAAAAAAGAGCATGGGTGGAGGGAGCCCAGCCCAGAGTGTGGCTTAGGAAGCCAGTTAGCAGTTACGCTGGAATCGGAAGCTGAAGGTATAGTACAGAGGGTAGGGCACTTGCCTTGCACGTGGCTGGCCCAGGCTCAAACCCTGGTCCCCTAAGCATGGCCAGGAGTGATGCCTGTGCGCAGAGCCAGGAGTAAGCCCTGATCATCGCTGGGTGTGGCCCCCAAACAAAACAAAGCAAAATAAGACACTGGATGGGTCGGATCAACGGTACAGTGGGTAGGGCATTTGTTTTGCACCAGCCAGTCTGGGTTCAGTCCTTGACATCCCATACGGTCCCTGAGCTTTGCCAGGAGTGATTTCTGAGCGCAGAGTCAGGAGTAACCCCTGAGCATCTCCAGGTGTGGCCCCAAACCCACACCAAAACACAGACACTGGAATCTCTGTGTGTGCCTGTGCAGGAAGGGGCAGCCAGAGAACATTCCAGAGATGAATCTCGTCTGGGTCAGACCAACAGTGTGGACACGAGGATGGCAGGGGTGTGGACAACCCAACCCAAACCTCTAGGTCCTCCCCACGTGGGTCACCCCCTAGCCCACCTCACCTGGAACTTGACCAGGCCCGTGGGAAATTTCGGTTGTCAATGGCCCGTCTCCAGATGAGCTCACCCCAAACCTGAGTCCATTGTCATCTCTCCTGCAGGGGCCCCAAAGGAAGCCTCTGCCCTCACCCTCCTTCCTGCCTTGCTTGCCCCCTGCTGAGGTCAGCCAGCCCCAGGAGCCCTGAGAGGGGGCCTGACACTCCCCCGAGTAAGTCGGACTTAGAAGGGGCACCCCGAGGGAACAGTCAGCTAAGACCTTGGTTGTCTACCTCGGTTGCTTCCTTGCACAAGAAATGCTGGGTGCAGAGCTGGGGTGTGTGCCCCAGAGCCAGCCCCTCTCCCCACTTGGTGCTCCTGCCAAACCAGGGTTCATTTCTGGAGATTTTCACACATTCCCCTCAGTTCCTCCCCACAGCCATGGCACACTCTCTGCATCAGTTTCTCCATCTCTATCTGTCAGATTGTCCAGCTGGCTGTCTGTCTCTCCACCTGGGACACAGTACAGCGTTCTCCCCATCAGTCTGTCCTCTCAGCCTTGCTCTGGCCCCAGTTCTCATCTCTTTCTCTGCTGCTCCTTCTGAGAGGGAGACCAGGGTTTAGTGTGAGGTCAGCCCCTTTCTCGCTGTCCTTGTTCTGTGGCTCATCAGAGAGGTCACCTGGGTCCCTGCCTCAGCTGAGTAAACAGCATCCCTTCCTGGCCTTGGTCACCCTCCCTTTGCTCTGCACGTCCTCACTCAGTGCAGCAACGTGCCTGGCCCCACAGAAGGGCCTGCGTGCCCCCTGGCAGCCTCCACTCTACACCACGCTGCCCCTGCGTCATCTGAACTTACCTATCCGGGGTCCCATGGTTTCCGGGGTGCAGTGTGTTCCAGTCCCGATTCCGGGCTCAGGATCTGGGTTTGGCCAGGGAAAAGGGGTGTGCCGTCACTGGAGACAGCCGGGTGGGAGCCCCGGCAGGATGTGCCAACAATGAGGGACACCCAGGTCTCTGGCCCACGGCCACCGCTTCCAGGTCTGGACTGAGAATTCTACTGCACTCAACCCTGTTCTGCAAGTGCACGGCTGCGTCTGCTCGGAATCCTTCTGATCTCTGCCTGGGGTGTTCTTGGCCTGCATGGGAGGCTGGATCTGCTCAGATCCAACCCCTGCGTGGGAAGTGGCCACAGGCGGGCCACCCCCTCTGCTGGTCCCCGCCTCCTGCCAGCTCTTGGACACTTTCTCCTACTCTTTTGGCCTCAGAGGGAGCAGGGGCAGAGGGGTTAGGGTGAGTTTCCCCAGGCCCCTGGGTCAATTCATCTGACCTCTTTAGTACCCCCCCTCTGGGACCCATTTTTCTATCTGAACCCCCTCCCCACCAATCTTGAATTCCTGTCCTCGAATATTGGTCACTCTCATGAGCCTGTTACTCCGCTGTCTTCCTCCACTGAACCCCCTGTCTCTTGCTTCTCTTACTGCCTCACCTCCTCCCTCTTAATTCTCACCTCCTTCGATGAGCTCCAGGACCCAGAGCAGCGAGGGGCCTGCTCTTCCCTATGGCCTCCAGTGTCCAGCCTGCCGAGGGGGGTGTGGCCTGTGGCTGCAGCTCCTTCAAAGGCAGCCAACTCATGCGTGGTGCCAGCAGAGGGCAAATAAGAGGTTTCCAGAGTTTTCCAGAATGAAGCACAAGGAACCAGACAGCCGGACCTTCTCCCAGGTCTGCCGCTTGCTTGTCAGGTGATTTTAGACAAGATCTTAGACAAGATCCTGCACATCAGATTCCCTGATCCCTTGGGAAGAGACAGGATTCTTGGATGCTGATTGGGCAGGAAACTCAGTGACAGTAAAAAAAAAAAAAAGTCAAGTTCAAAGGCTGCAAGAAGAAAAACAAAGCTGGTGACCTGTTCTCTTATTTTTTATTTTTTAATTTTAATCAGACGTTCTATTATCTCATTCTTGCTTTGGAACAACCTGGCAGGCTACCGAATGTAACCTGCCCACACGGCAGAGTCTGGCAAACTCCCCGTGGCGTACCCAATATGCCAAATACCAGTAACAATGATGGATCTCATTCTCCTAGCCCTGAAAGAGCCTTGAATATGGCACTTCTTTAAATCTCAGGGCTAGGACGAAGGAGACGTTACTGGTGCCCGCTAGAGGCAATCCACGAACAACAGGATGATCTTGATCGTGTGAAATTTAGTCATTGTGAATTACAAAGCTGTTCAGGATTAGGTTTCAGGCGTGGATGTTCCAACACCCACCCCCTCACCAGTGTCCACTTCCCTCCACCAATCTAGCCAGTTCCCTCCCTGCACCCCAAAGACTGCCTCCGTAGCAGGCACTTTTTAAAAGTAATTGTGGGGTGCTGGGGTTACGGTGCTGTTACGTTAGGGTTTCACGACGACTTGTGTTCACGCATGACTCTTCACCCCCTTTAGCAACCCCCCCAGACTGAATACTTCCCTCTGCCGTGTGCAGTGTTCTCTTCCCTATTCTATTCCCCTCCCCCCTCTTCCTGACATACTTCCTACTGAAGACCAGTTCTCATATTCTTTGATTCTCTTGCCTTTGGATACTTGTTATTTCCCTACCATGTTTCTTTATACACCACATATAAAAGAGATGGTTCTGTGTTGGTCTCTCTCCCTCTGACACTTGCTCTCTCTTACCTTGCTCTCTCTTACCTTACCCAGAGGTGCCTCCTCCTGACCCCAAACACCAGGTACTTACTCACCCATTTTGCAGATTGGGAAAATGTCTCATCCACAGTCCAGGGGATTTCCAGTCAGTAGGTGGGGGAGCCAGGTCATCAACCCTGGAGGCTAAAACCAGACTTTCCCCTCCTCCCAGGCCAGACTACCCCATCTGAGGAGGACCCTTAGGTCTCCCAGATATAGGCAACTGAAATCCTTCTGACCCCATTCCAGGTCTTTCTATGGGCCAGAGCTGAGGGGTTGGGGGGGGGTCTCCCTTTTAGCATGAAATGAGGGAACTATTCATGTACCCCGCTGAACCCCCAGTACCTATGTGAAGGTTCTAGTAGAACGCAAATGACTTTGGAAATAATCACAGATGTTCTGGGTTCATCACAGGCTGCTTCATACAGACTTGCTGCAGAAGGAATGAATTGGAGGAAGAAGGAATGTGATTGGCAGAGCATGAACTGGGAAAGGTCTTAGGTTGGAGTGACAGGAAGATTCTGTTTGAGGAACCCCAGTTGGGTCTATGTCGCTAGGCCCTTATCTGTGCATGAATGTCATGGATGTGCGTCGTCTGTCTGTCTGTCTGTCTGTCTGTCTGTCTGTCTGCTGGATCCTCCCAAGCAGTGCTCAGGAGGGACAGCAATGCAATGCAGTGCTTTTCATGCTCTGAGGTCCACCAGCAATGCCTGGGGGATTGTGTGGGGTCAGGATTAAACCCACTGGGATTGGTTACATGCCAGGCAAGTGCCTTGACACCTCTCCAGCCCTCTTCAACACACGCTGAAATTGATGCTAATTAAACCACACTCAAGTGTGAGCCACCTGTGGTAAGATGGAACCTTCCAGTGGCAATGTTAAACCCATGTGAATCTTTGTGTCGCAGAGTTGGGGAGGGTTTGGGTGGGGGCAGCTCTTCAGACTCCAGACGGCAGGTGCAGATTGGGGGTTTGGGGAGGGATCTAAACCTTTTAGACGTCTGAAAGCTCAGTTGTCCTATCTCGGACCCCCCATAGCTGAAGAAGTTCTGCACATGCGTGGGTCTGGGCACAGGCCAGGACCAGTGCGGCTACCAAGTTCATCTCCTCAAACACCTACATGAAGCTCAGAGCGCTCCAGAGTATGGAACACACAGCGCCCACAGGCATGGAAGTCTTTACTCATCACCTTCGTTCATCTGGGAGTGAGGGAGAAAATGTCAGCGACTGGGATTTCCGGGGGTTCAGCGAACAAGACTTCACATGCACTAGGGCTAATCCTGCAAGGAGATCTCCCCAGAGGGTGCCAAAGGCTTGAGGTTCACCCGGCCTGGCTAGCACCCAGGCCTTGCCACTTGTCAGCCTGGTGCCACATAGCTGAGCCTTATGCATTTCACAGACACCCGCGGGAGACGCAGATCCCCGCACCATCTGCAGATCCCCACAGTTGGCACAGCGGGGTGCCATTTTCACAAGCTTGTGCAGTTGGCACAACCTGGCATGACCTGTAGAGCTCTGCAGTCTCCAGGGCCCTGATGTCCACCCAGTGCCATGTCCAGGCCAACTTCATATTTCTCCTCCATTCCTGGGCTGTTTGCATAACCCAGGCCCCTTTCCCTCTTGGAACCAACCCATTATAGGAAGGGTCTTTTTTCCCCCTCTCAAAAGCCAGGGAAAGTGGAGATGCTTTATTTCATAGAATATCAGGGGTTTGTCTCTCAGGGAAGAGTTCTGGGTTGCCGATCAAAGACCTTCCTTAGGAACCTAGCCTGAGCACTCTCTGGTGGTGGGGCTATGTCCTGTTTGGGTCTCAGTGTTCCCGTCTATCAAATGGGGATGAGGGCCACCTACTTTGGCAAGGCCACCCAGAAGATGGGGTGGGGGTGGAGGTGTGAATGGCAGTGCAGGAAGGGGAAGAGTGGCCAGAGAAGACTCTTTCCTGAAATAGTCTCTAAACTGTGTGCCCTCAGCACTGAGCTGGTACTTCCCCTCTAGCCCCACAGCTAGGGACCGGATATCTATAATGGGATCCACACAGAACGGCCTCCAAGCCGAGTCTGGGAGTACTTGCCCCAGCCCAGATGCCTCTGGGGGCGTCAACCCCAAGCTGTGCGGACCGCTAGCACGCAACCCTCAACCATCAGTCGGGCCGTCCCCATTCCAGCCCCCAGCACCCTGCATCTCACAGGCCATGGCACTTGTCCCGGGTGTCTGAGTGTCAATGGGGGAGGGGGGCGCTGTGGGGGTCTCTTGGAGAGCAGGGCTGGATGCATGGGACTCAGAAGGCAGAGTGGGGACACGCCGAGGGCCGGTCAGTGCCACCTTCCTCTGATCAGGACAGGGACCTGAGGGCGGCTCTGCTGGGATGTTGCCCCCACGATGTCTCTGCCAGACTTTCCCTGGGCCTCAGTTTCTTTCGGTAGCCCAGAGTCAGAGACCCCCATCCTGCTGGAGGGGGGGGGGGTCAGGCCCCTCCGGTTCTTGTTGGCATGGCTCCTGGGTCACACCAGGAAAACGCAGCTCTGCAGGTAGATGGGTATCAGGCCTGGGCACCCTCAGTCCGCGGTGCCACCCCCATCTCCCCTGGCACAGCCGTGCTGTACTCTGGAGTCTCACCTGGAGGTTGGTTCTGAGCCCAGCCCCTCTCCAAGGACATCTCACCCCAGCAGGGACCTTGCGCTGGCCACTACTGCCTGCCCCAGGCTGGAGAACACCACTGCTAGAAATTCTGCATCCCAGATCTCAATCCTGACCCATGAGGACAATCGCTGAGACTCAGTTCCCACTTGGCATAGGGGAAATGGCGGGGACTATCCCAGCGGGCTGCAGGAAACCCGCTGCTTGGCCTCTTTCGTTCACTCTGTCTCTGCTGCCTCGCCCGGAGGCCCAGCTGTGCGCTCACTCGCCCTCTCTGAGCCTCAGTGCCCTTGTCTGGGATACACCTTGTGGGGCCCATCTGGAGGCTGATGGATGGACGGCGCAGGTGGAGTTCTGAGCAGATGTGAGCCTTGATTAATCGGGGGTGCAACGATGAGGCCCCTCGACCTGCTGAGAGCAGAGGGCGAGGAGGAAGAAAATCTGGGGCAGGTGTGAGTCAGGTCCTGGGTCTGCATCACCAGGGAGACCCCCGAGGTGGGGGGAACCCCAGGGGGAAGCCAAGGCTTAGCTGGAGGCGGGTAGCCATCGATCGTCACCAGCAGCTCTGGCCCTGTGGGTGCCCCTGGCTGGCCCCTCTCGTGGGGCCCACCTTGGGCCCTGGGACTCTAGGCCCGGACACACAGGTATGGTCAGGGTTTATTTCCTACCCTTCCGCTGTGCTGCGGGCTTAGAGGGACAGTCACAGTCTGTTGGGCACACCCTCTACTCTGTAAGGTGTCACGCGGG